CCAATATACCCACTGCCCCTCCTCTGGACATGTCCAAACCAATGTACCCACTGTCTCTCCTTTGGACACATTCAAACCAATATACCCACTGTCCCTCATTTGGACGTGACACAAAGCTCTTTCTGTAACATTCAGTCCTCTGTGGTTACTACATTTCTGGACGTTTCTGTTCTAAAACACTCTCACTTCTCGTTTGTTCCTCATGTTTCCCTCAAACGAGGCTGAGTTTTGTTTCAGTTTCCACCAATATGAGATTCCGACTTAAAAAAGCGGAACCATGTTCCAAACGTGTTGCATTGACCCTGTCTTTGTGGACGCCCTCTGCAGGACCTGTTTGGTAGGCGGGACTTTCTGCCTCAGAGCCAGTACATCAGGTGGTTGGCTGAACATGTGTGTGCGAAGAAGCTGCTCAGCGAGCTGTGTGGAAACCTCTTCTTCATCCTCTGTGGCTTTGATGAAAAGAATCTCAACATGGTTTGTACACCTGGTCTAAAAGCAGAACCAAGACTTCACCAGGTGTGGTGTCTCTATATTGTCTGATTGTGGACCTGTATCCTGATCTGTTCCAGACTCGAACTCCAGTCTACACGACTCACTGTCCTGCTGGGACATCTGTCCAGAACATGGTCCATTGGGCTCAGGTAACTCAACCACATGAACACGTCACGAACAACAAGCTAAGCCCCGCCCCTATTGTTTACCTGCAACACTCGTATCAGCTGCTGGACCTGAAAGCACCTGAACAGATGATCCAGAACTTAGTTCGGCAGAAAAATATCAACAGTCTGTTGTTGTTTATGACTATGTTTACTGGGTTTTACTAGTTTGTTGTTGTTAACTGTTTTCATGTTGTTTATTGTTTGATGTTGTTTACTGGAATTTACTGGTGTTATGTTGACTTGTTTGTGGTTGTTTACAGGTTTGTTGTCATTTATTGGTTTCTTGTTGTTGTTTACTGGTTTGTTGTTGTTTGATTGGTTGTTGTTGTTTACTGGCTTCTTGTTTACTGTTTAGTGGTTTCTTGTTTATTGGTTTCTTGTTGTTTACTGTTTACTAGCTTCTTGTTTTATTGGTTTCTTGTTGTTTACTAGTTTGTTTACTAGCTTCTTGTTTATTGGTTTCTTGTTGTTTAATAGCTTTTTGTTTATTGGTTTCTTGTTAACTGTTTACTAGCATCATGTTTATTGGTTTCTTGTTGTTTACTAGCTTCTTGTTTATTGGTTTCTTGTTGTTTACTGTTTACTAGCTTCTTGTTTATTGGTGTCTTGTTGTTTTCTGTTGTATACAGGCAGTACATAAAGGAAAACTGACAGCGTTTGACTTTGGACCAAAAGAAAACATGAGACACTACAACCAGGTGAGTCTGAAACTGGAATCTCTGTGAGAGGTCTAACAGGGCCTGAGTCCAGGTTGGATCAGGTCTTACAGAGTCCYGGTTGGATCAGGTCTTACAGAGTCCYGGTTGGATCAGGTCTTACAGAGTCCGGGTTGGATCAGGTCTTACAGAGTCCAGGTTGGATCAGGTCTTACAGAGTCCGGGTTGGATCAGGTCTTACAGAGTCCGGGTTGGATCAGGTCTTACAGAGTCCAGGTTGGATCAGGTCTTACAGAGTCCGGGTTGGATCAGGCCTTACAGAGTCCYGGTTGGATCAGGTTTTACAGAGTCCAGTTTCTAACAAACTGTTTTCTTCTTCAGTCCTCTCCACCTCAGTACCGGGTCCAGGACATGAAGGTTCCCACAGCCCTGTTTTCAGGGGGACATGATACTCTGGCGGACCCCAAAGACATGGCAGTCCTCCTAACTCAGGTCAGTCTCTTAGCCTCCGGACAGCTGGTAGAACTCTGGTTCAGACAGACCTCTGTGGCCCTTCACAATAAAAGTCTCTAGAACATCTAGACCTTCAGTTGCTGCTTCAAGGAATTATGTTGTCTTTCCTGAGTTCCCACGATTTTTCCGTTGTTCCCTTCTGAACGCACGGTTCTCTTCCTGTTCCCCACATGGGGGTTTGGCAGAGACCATGATACTGTTCTGTCCCTCTGCAGGTGTCCAACCTGGTCTACCATCAGCACATCGAGCACTGGGAACACCTGGATTTTATTTGGGGCATGGATGCTCCTCAGCAGATGTTCCCATCCATCCTGAAGCTGCTGCAGAAATATCGTTAGACATGGAGGACTCTGTCTTTGTCTTCAAGACTCAAGGACCTGCTGTGTCCAGGACCTGACCTTTTAATCAGGAGAGAATCTTTTTATCTAAGAAAACTTTTTGTATTCAACCAGACTTTAAACAATTTTTATCCTCGGAGACATCTTCGTCTTCCTCCTAGTCAGCTGGAACAAACTTAAAGCTGCTCTCACATTTCCAACCAGAACCCCAAGGTTCTAAAACCTGGACCCAGACCAGGAGGAAACCTCAGGTTTAAGACCAGACCAGGAAGAAACCTCACCTTTAAACCCAGACCAGGAGGAAACCTCACCTTTAAACCCAGACCAGGAGGAAACCTCAGGTTTAGATTAACTTAATAAAGATTTATCAGATAAACCGCACTGGAATTTTGCCATAATAGGAAAATCTAATCTATTTGTTTAAGCTGAAAAAAAATAATTTCTGTTTTTAGTTGAAGGCCATTTAGAATTGAGTTGTTCTAAAATTTTGATAACTTCTGTCATGTTTCCTGCATTAAAGCTGCTCTGAACCAAACTGATCATTTATAATTTTTACCTTCTGCAGTGTAGAAGAATGATTATCATGGAGAAAGAAGGGGATGCATTTTACTTTTTTAACATTTATTGACCAATAACAGCTTTATTAATTTATTCACAGTTTTAAAATTGTTAAAAAGTGGTTTCTTATGGTCTGCATATTTCCCTTATATCTGTGGCTAGATGTTTTGGTGTAAAAGGAATGGAAAGTGAAATAGCCTAGCCTAGCATCATGATTAGTTTAGCTAAGCATTTATGAACAGAGTAACAGAAAACAAATTATTATCCTAAACCTAGCTTAGCATCAGGGTTAGCTAATTATTTTTCAATTGTAACATGAAACCAAAACCTTTAGCCTAGCCTAGCATGATGTTTTGATGGAGATAATCTGATGGTCGTTCAATAACAATGAGTTATCAGTGGGTTTTCCTCAACATGTTGATTATCTTTGTAAACTTTTGCCTGGTGGCGATGTCCAGAGGAGTTTCTCCTTCCTGTAAAGGGAATAAAAGTGAAACAGAATTAAAACAGTTCTATCTAATGTTTTGTTTGTTGGAGATCCTTTGAGTTACACCATGATGATGTATGAATGGCAGAGATACTGTATATGCAGCAGAAGGAGAGATCACCTCCCAATAAATGTCATTTTGGACATTTTAACCACTCAGTTTTATGCAATACTTTTACTTTTAATACTTAAATATATTTTATGTCAGAAATTTACTTTTGACACATAAGTACAGTAAATCTCAGATACGTTAAAACCTTTTTTAAGTAATATTTTAAGAGAATACTTTAACTTTAATTAAAGTAATTTAATGTTCAAGATAATTGTATTTTTATTCAAATATCACTGTGTCCATATACGTACTTTATTCCTGATGTCTGTCTTGGCGTTAAACTGCAGCAGCAAAGGAACCAGACGGCTGCTTTTCTTCTGACAGACGTAGTGAAGAGCAGTGTTTCCTTTCTGCGACAGAAACAATAAATGATGGGCTGCAGCTGCTTGAACTGTGTGGTGCCTCACTGTAACCTTCCTGCAGGAAGTTTTCAAAAATGAACGATCTGCCCTTTTACGATTTTATTTTACTCACATAGTCAACAGCGCTAATGTCGACGCCACTGTTCAGCACAGCATTCATCAGCTCCACACTCTTCCTCTGTTTCTGCAGCTGAGACAGAAGGATAAACTCAACACGCACTGCCGTTTGTTGACTAACAAGTTAGTCAAGTTCATCATGTGAATGTCACAAGAAATAACGCTAAAATGTGTTTGCATCATATTTAAACATGCTAAAATCATGTTAGCATCATATTTAAACATGCTAAAATCATGTTAGCATCATATTTAAACAAACTAAAATGCCTTAACATCATACTTAAACATTTTAAAACACAATAGCAATTTTAAACATGCTAAAATGTGTTAACATCATACTTAACATAATAGCATATTTTACACATGCTACAATGTGTTAGCATCTTATTTAAACACACTTAAATGTGTTAGCATCTTATTTAAACATGCTAAAATCATGTTAGCATCATATTTAAACATGCTAAAATCATGTTAGCATCATATTTAAACATGCTAAAATCATGTTAGCATCATATTTAAACAAAATGTCTTAACATCATACTTAAACATGTTAAAATATAATAGCATATTTTAAACATGCTACAATGTGTTAGCATCATATTTGAACACACTTAAATGTGTTGAAATTATGTTTAAACATGCTAAAATGTATTAGCATCATATTTAAACATGTTAAAATGTGTTAGCATCATACTTAAACATGCTTAAATTATATTAGACCACAAACTGTTACGGTCTAGTGTTGGAGGTCAGTTACAGGACCACCAGTCTGGGAGGGTTTTTTGGTGCTATGTAAACAAATGCAAAACAGACAATAAGAAAAGGAGGCATCTGATTGGCTACTGCACCATGACGAAGTATCCGAGCAGCATGACCGGCATCAGGATGGCGATCATCAGGTAGTCCAGCACAGTGAAAGTCCTTTTGGACACGTAGTGAAGACACGTCCTCTTTTTCTGATGGACGGAAGGACAGAATTAGACATCATGCAGTCGAACATCATAATGACATCATCAGGAGAAAGCACCTTATTGGTCAGCTGGACATTGGCCTTGTTTTGCAGCAGGTACTTCACTACATTCAGGTTTCCACGACGACAGGCAGCAATGAGGGGAGTGTCTCCAGTGTACTCCTCCTGAACATTTAGCTGTGTTGCATCTTTACACAGGACAGTGTAGAGGCGATGGACGTCTCCATTGTAGGCTGCCTGGCAGGATGGCTGGGAGGAGGGGGTCAGAATGATCGATTATTGACTAAAACAGCTGATCTGCTGTGGTCCAATCATAACTTCTGATTTATCTGACTGAACATCTGTTTCGACTCTGTGGCTGCTGCACAGGCACGTCTGTGCGTATGTGATAATCGCCAAAATAAAAGCCTTGCACCACTGCTCGAGTTTAGTTAGGAGAAGCTGAGATGTTCCTGTGGGAGTCAGGAGCCAAACAGGAAATAAAGAGCCAAGCAGTGATGGGAAGTCAGGGGCCAAACAGGAAGTGAGGGGTCAAACAGGAAATAAAGAGCAAAGCAGTGATGGGAAGTCAGGGGCCAAACAGGAAGTCAGGGGCCAAACAGGAAGTCAGTGGCAAAACAGGAAGTGAAGACCCGAGCAGTGGACAAATGGGAAGTCTGGCCAAACAGGAAGTAAAGAGACGAGCAGTGGCCAAATGGGACGTCAGTGGCCAAACAGGAAGTAAAAACCCAAGCAGTGGCTAAATGGGAAGGAGCCACACAGGAAGTCAGGAGTCAAACAGGAAGTAAAGAGCCGAGCAGGGGACAAATGGGAAGTCAGGGGCCAAACAGGAAGTCAGTGGCAAAACAGGAAGTGAAGACCCGAGCAGTGGACAAATGGGAAGTCAGGAGTCAAACAGGAAGTAAAGAGCCAAGCAGTGGACAAACAGGAAGTCAAGGATCAAGAAGTCAGAAAAAAAATCAGGCGCATTGGTTTTTCTTTCTTTGAAAAAAAAGCAGCAAACATGCACTTACAACCAATATACACGTTAAACAAATATGGTCTTGAATCCTCAGGAAAATACAGGAATACAAGGAAAACAGAGTTTTTCATTTTAAGAGAACAAATAATAAATTGAAAATTAAATATTGCATGAAATGAGATGGAATCAGAAACACTCTGGCCCCAGAATGAAGATCCATTTCATTAGAATTAAATGTGAAGTGCCTCACATTATTACTGTATTCATTCAGGAGTTTTCCTACAGCAGGACTTCCTGTTGTTGGATATGTTTGTTTGCATTATTCTTCCCGCGGATTCTCTGTTATATTTCTATAATTCTGAAGTATTTCTGTAGTACTCTCAGTACTCACTGCAGATAATTACAGTCTGGAAATCTGCTGAGGTATTCTAAGAATTTAAAGCTGAAACTCTCCATCTTGTGAAACACCTGTAGACCAGCAGAACTCAGGTGTATGGGCACCGCGCGGACACAGAGCGGAAGCGCTTTAATGTATTTTCAGAATAAATGCGGTACATCTGTTGGACAGGGTCAGAAAACTAAAAAAAAAAAAAAAAAAGGAATAACTTCTTACCTCCGAGTAAACC